TTATATAAAAATATTTAATATCTTAGTTATACCTACACAAGGTATTTATATATAGTACCTATATAAGTATCACAAGAAATAAAAACATTTTACAAAAAATAGAACCGACTTCAAATTTAAAAAAATACTTATCTTTAAAACGGTTAAATTTTTCAAGAAACATTGAAATTAAGGTTATCGAAAAACCTTCGATGTTTCTTGAAAAATTTAATCGCTTACAAGATAAGTATATATCTATGATATATTTTTATCCAGATTCCAGAAATAGTTACAATATGTAATCATCACAAATTATCCCTTAGCCAATTTATTGTAGGACTCGATACAACAAAATGCTCGCGCTAGAATTGCATTCGGGGAATTTCTAAGCGAGCGTAATTGCAAATGAGAAGCGTCACCATGGAACACTTTCTGAAATAACACGGTCGATGCAGACTGTTGTTATTTCATTTGAAGACTCTCAGATCTATTTCTCTATGTGTAAAGTTCAAAATGTGTTAGCGTTTTGCGGGGATGCAGCTTGTTACTAGTCTCAGTTTAAATAATTTTCATATATTGAGCTTAGGAGCAGATCCATGAATATGGGCTACGTTTGAAACAATCTGTCCTCTTTTCAAGGAGATTGGAAAGTTGACAAAAAGACGGGTTTCATACAAAAATCACGTACTGGGTTCGTGGTCGACTGTCAAAGTTAAGTTCAAAACAAATGCAGAAGTTTTGAAAAATGTCATCTTCAATATTGACAACAGAAAAATTGGCGATCAGAATATTGAATAAATAGTCATCGGTGCTCTTCTTAATATTAAGTAGTACACATGTATTTCAATCGGACGTACTTAGTTTTATAATTTTATGCTCCTTTTATTTGTACAATTAAACACAAAAAAACAAATAATGAAACCTTTTTTTAACAGATTGCTTCAGATTAACCTACTTCGCACTAGCCTATTTCTATGAAACTTCGTTTATACAAATAACACGAACAAAATTGGGAGAACATCTTAGTAATCTTCTATGTTATCTTTTATTTTTTGTGATGATCACGTAGATGTTTCTTAAATATTGGAGCTAGAATAATTATGGCGACATTTTTACTTCATGATTTTATAGTCGAAATTGAAATAAAAGTTAAAAAATCACTAACAAAATTATAATTTTGTTATGTTCCATATCCTTTGGCTGAGAATCTCACATACTGTTACAAGTTATACCTACTATTCTCGAGGTGCCGAGTTTTATTCCTGGTCGTTTCAATGTAGAAAATAAACTTTTCTTTATTGTCTCTTATCTAAGAGTTGTATACTTTCGTCATCTCATATTTTTTTTAAAACAAAAAGCTTTAGTTATTAAGTTTATCTAAGTGATCTCTGATATCATAAATGCGAAAACTTGTCAGGATGAATGTATGAATATTTGCTAATCTTTCACGCAATATCTCCTGAACAGATTGTGATGAAATTTTGTAAAATATTTAACTTGATTTAATGTCTAGACAAAATTTTATCCCACGTAACGGTTCTCTAGGGATAAATGTACTATCAAGACATTATCCACGCAAGCGAAGCCGCTAGCTGAAAGCTAGTAACATATATTCGCTTTATATTTTGACAGCTTCTATATTCCATGATCTTTGGTTAAACCTACGGCTAAATTAAAATTAAGATTATCTCTAAAGCCAGCGACCTCGCTTCTCACTAAAGCTTATTACATACAAGAACATGTTTGTATATCCAAACCATAAACTGAAATTATGTTATCAATCTGCCCGGATTCATCTGTCAAGATAAACATAATTGATTAGTCCTAATCCTCATTCTATATTATTTAGTATAATAAATTAGTTTGAAGTTAAATTATGAGCTTTATACCTTTACATAAACTAGAAAGAATCTCATTTCGTGTGTAGATAACGATAATCATATAATAGGTTAGCCTTGTTTTAACATTTCTGCTTTTCGCATCACTAAATTATCAATGGTCAGTCAATATTACTTACTCGTTTTTAAAATTACGTTATTATTTTATTTTTAAAATTTTCCGTATGATAAGGTCCGTGTAGCGTGTAAAAAGCAATGTTTATTATTTTCTTGTTACCAATTTCCTAAAACAAGATTTCATTTGATAATAACAAAATTATTTAGATATTATAAATCAAGTACTAAAATGTTAAATGGACAATAGCAATTGTCGGGTTATCGGTGTATAATCTAACGGAAAATCCGTCAAGCGTCTCACGGAAGTATGCGCAAGTAATATAACGGCTCAGCCGTCAGACATTTTTCCGAACCTTATAAATGCTACCATTACGCCATATAGACACACAACTATTGTATTTAACGTTATCGATATCACATATAGGCATCTACAGATGTTGAGGCTCATGCAACTAGCGCCTTCTATTGATAAACTGGCTAAAGTGAAACAAAACTACAGGGTTTCAGGTTTCAGCCGTCGGTTTCTCGATCATTCTAGTTTGTTCGATTTTCGTGAGATGGCGCTATTATTAATTTATATTATTCTATTGCAAAATCTTTAATTTTTGGATTAATATGATGTATATGTTAACTGTTATAATGTTACAATCATCATATTCACATTTTATTTCTTTGAGGCAGGTTTATTACTATTCACAACTGCAAACAAGTTATTTAAGTTACTAACAAAAACTTATTTGGTAAAATTAAGAAATAAATGATTGATTAAAGATCCTCACGAATATGAAACTGAGTTACACGTTCAACTTGTTATGTATTGTATATTTTATGTTTACATAACATTTTTATTTCGGGCGATAAGTACATGTTCTTAAGTTAAAATGTTGAACATGCATAAAACTTGCATATGTTTTCAATGAAATAAAGCCTCCTTTAAATAAACTTAATGCATTTTTAAAATACTTTTAACATTATATTTCTTTAATCAATAATAACACATATAGTTAGAATCATCATGAGGATGGGCCATAACCCTCCACGCTGGCCCAATGCGGATTGGAGGGTATTAACGACTGCAAATGCAGCCGGGACCAACGGCTTAACGTGCCTTCCGAAGCACGGAGTAGCTCAAGATAATATTTTTTTTGGTCACCCATCCCGTGACCCATCCTTGCGAAAGCTGCTTAACGTCAATAATCGCGGGCCGCGGCGCTTATCCACTACGCCACCGAGCTACTAGTTAGAATGCTTAACAGTTAGAATATATTGTAGAATATATTGTATGCTTAATAGTTAGAATGCTTAACACTATTCATTTTACGAGTGAAAACTGCAGAAACTGTTTATTGTACACAGAGAGTTATAAAATCTTAGGACTCATTCTTCTCTTGGGAGTGTATTTTATTAATATGTATAAAGCAACATTTTCTTGTTTGTTTCGTGGTCTTGCAACTCTGCAGTGTACTATAGGTAGATACTACTAGTATAGTATGTTATCTTCGGTGATTATACCAACAACATTTATTTTTTATTGAAAGTTTGAAGAACTTTTTTGTCATGGTCGCATCTACAGTAGTTAAAATCCACCCGTCCTCACTAGGCCTACGTAGAAGATCTTGACCAATTCTCGTATTTGTATTCATTCATAGGCATGGCCTGTGCCCCATCAATTGCCTGGTGATGATGATATAACTACTGCTGTTCAGTTTTAAATGTTTTTACTACCAAATATTTCGTAAAGCATCATTCATTTAACAATGCAGAGAAATATTTTTCAGAAACAAAAATTACTATGACCGAAAGACATTTTCCTATTTTAAAATTACTTTAATAAAGTATTTTCATACTAAAAAAACTATCAAGCAAACATAAATCGAACCTTTATGTCTTAGATATAAAACTGGCATTCCTTTAATTAACATAAAGAACACAGTGAAATCAAAACATTGTCATCATTGATTTATTATCATTTTTCTGATCATGAATGAAACAATCTCCAACTGTCAATGTAAATATTTACTTTCCAATATTGACTGTATGTAGATACATACGTTTTATTTTTATGGTTCCGTATTTCTAAAAGTATTTTTTATTTAAAGAGAATACAGATCAAAGTTGTTAAACAGTATAAAATAAAGAGGTTATTAATTATTAAATGGCTAAAATATTATTCAGTTTGTAGTGAATCGTTTTACACACTTTTAGCCCAAAGTATACCCAAGAGTTATGTCGATAATATACCTAATTACTTCACATAAATATAATAAAATAAGAAAAAATATCTTTATGAACATTAATTCTATCAGTTACAATTTTGAATTTGTCCCAGTCAGCAATATAAAATACTTGTATTGGGTGTATTTCACTCCAGCTTTGTGGCAAGTAATGCCTACATAATTTTCTAATTTTGAATTAGAGTGTATAAACTTTATTTTTTAATCTTTAGAGAAACCTGATTAAACACACTTATAATATTTTTAATCATCTTCAGCTTTATTATTAGTATACTGTTATCCAGGCTCGTCTTAAGCACAACAGGCGCCCGGGTGCAAGTAGTGCTCTGGCGTGCAATGACGGTCCGTGCCAACTATTAACTACTTGACTTTAATAGAAGTTTAAATTATTTTTCACTTGAACTCCTTTCTTCTTTGAAATTGTGAAACCAATTATAAATAAAACATATTTTTCTTTCTTTTTTAAAATCTGCCTATATTTATATTTTTAAAACTATTGAACCATTTTTAGTGAAACTTGTACTGCTCCTAAAGATCGAAAAGTACGTGGAACAACATACAGATATAGATTATCAATATGAAAATTACACTACCTCATCGATTTAACTACAAAGAGGTGAAATTAATAACCTTTTTAAGGTTAATTCTTCAGACTATTTTTGACACACTTATTTGTCTAACTATAAGTAAGACGAATGAGTATAGTTTAATCATAACCACAATTTGAAGCATCTCAAAATTCAACAGGCGATCGCTAATTCGTATGTGTTAATTGCAAAACAATTAACGATCTCAAACCACTGCAATGGTCTCACACATTCATCATATCGGCATTTGAGTTTTGATCAAAATCATAAACAAACCTCCGTACACGAAGCCAAAACATGCTGGCCTCAAAACATCCAGTCTGTTAATAGCCTTCGATAGCGAAACACCACGTTTAATTTGTAAATCGTACATAATAAAATAAAAAAGAAAACAAAAGGAAATAGTTTATTCAACAAAGAGGTTCGATTTCCGAAAATGTTTACCGCAACAAGCTGATATGGGAAGTGAAGGAAAAACGTGGAGATGTATCGAAACGTTATAATCACCGTTATCACAGTTTTCAGTGTAGCCACTATTCAAGTAAGTTTTTTTACGTACTTTTGAAGTATCGCGTTCAGGCGTAGTCAATTTAGTTAACATTTGAGCTACGTGATTAAATGCGTTTCATAAGATAGAGGAATCAAAGTTCAATTTAATATAAAAAACCTATATAGAACTACATCTATTAAAAAAAAACGCTAGTAAAACCAATACACGTGTCAAGATTTTTCTGTGTAATAATCTTTTACGAAGATAAAACAAGTATTTGAAGTAATGGTATCCTTTTCTGTATATATTATTTATTTAATACCGTACAAAAATGTTGTGATTATATCTAGCTCAGTGTTCCGCTGATAAACTTAATGTTGACTTTGGAACGAACAACGATACCGAGCGTTTTATTGTTTTTGTTACTTTGCTATTCACTTCTTTGTTTTCACTAATATTATACAGTTTTACAGTAAACTTTTGATTTAAATTGAATAATCTTATATAACATTATGGTTTCATTAATTAAGCATATATTGTGTAAATCAAATAATTTTATATACATATAAACATTTTGTTTTTTGAATTTAGTTGTTTATAAACATCGTGAGGACTATTGCAGTACTATTTTGTAATAATATCACCGTCGAACTTGACGTCGAGCACAATGGTACTACTACAAAAAGTAATACAGGTTTTACTTCATTTAACATTATGCTGCGACAGCGCTACGCTTGAACTGCATTTTAAATAGCTTCCACAGCATAGACGAGCTCAATAAAATATAGTATTCCAAACTAGCTGTGGTAACACTAAGCCTACAAGCTCGGCTATAATTTTATGATTTCAATTTAACTACAAATTTTTATTCATAAAAAAAATGTTGAAAATCGGGCTACAGTTCGCGATAAAATCGGTGAACATACAAAAATAAAAACATACATAACGGTCAAGCATATAACTTCCTTATTTTTTGATGTTGAAGTTGTTTATAAATATGTTGTGTCAAAATTTCAAACAAGGAAAGAAAATTGGGTCATACAACATTTATTTGTTGTTGCAAACTTTTTTCAGCAATTTACCCAGGTAAATGCATGCACATAAATCAACTTTTACGGAGAAGACTTGCGACACGGCTCATTAGTACCACTTGTTACTCACGTTAATTAGAGCTTTAAAAAACCCGTACAAAAATATAAGCGACTAGGCGACTTGCTTCATTTTGCGATTGCAACATTTACATAAAGAGCATTAACATTTTTTTTACATTTAGATATTCGAACGTTTCTTCATGCGAATAATGATATGTTTTCATACATACCTATTGGCTGTATTTTTGTTTTTCACATTGTCAGAGACAGTATTGAAGGAAAATTATACGATAAAAGGTGATACTGAAGATCATGGCCGTCAATATTAATGAATACGACTCAAGGAAGATAGGTTTGTTTGTTTACATTGAATAGGCCTCAAAACTACTGGTCCGCTTAAAAAAATTCTTTCACCTTCGGGAGGCTACATCATATGCGAGTGACATAAGCTATAATTCGAATGAGAAGTCGCGGAAAACAGTTTGTGTTTAATGAAACGAATGATTACTTTCCTTAATTTTCACAAAAGAATTCACAAAATTACAAAAGAAATCTAATATCATTTAAATTAAGAGATAACTTCGTATCTTTAATCTATTTTTCTCGAAAAAAATAAATTAAATTCTATATTTTTTTTGCCCAATGACACCACGTAAAGACGCCTACTGATACGTTCTAAATTTTCATTTCATTTTATTTGATATTATTGATTTTGTATTCTTGTATATTCCAAAGAATTTATTTAGTTGGTGCAAGTATGCTGAGTCTTTCATCTTTGTCTATTAAATATTGATTAGCAATGCTATTACTATAAACCACTTCGAAATCGTCGTCGAACCTAGAACTGTCACATCATAGAGTTTCAATAAAATAAAACCTTTATTATCTTAGAAAGAAGGTTGAAGGTGGTATAGTGGTTAACGCGTTTGGTCTGTCTAACTCAAGAGACTTTAGGAAGGGCCAGTGATTTGTGACAGTGACAGACCAAAAATTCAGATAAGGGTGGCACGAGTGGCCAGCTTTTGGTTCTAGCTGCATCTGCAGTCTTTAACTCCACTTGATCTCGTTCCTTCTACACGATTCCATCCATAATGAAGTCCTATGCCCGAGCAGTCAAAACAATAAAAGATTTATGATGACCATTGATAGTCTTACAATAATCTATCATGTCTTTCGCAGACGACAGATTTCCAAGACAATCTAATAAATGGGTACAGAGCCTTGATAGCGGACATTCAAGTCCGCACACAGAAATCCAGAGAAGATATGGACACGTTGGTGTCACAGATCAAATTACTGATGAAAAATGAAGCAGATAAAGCCATTAACTACATGACTGTGTACTTAGAACAAATATCATTATACTTTCAGGTGACGTTTTGATTAGCTTTAAGTATTAACTTAAGAGTCTCTATATAATTGAAACTGTTATTGATGAAACTTAAACTCTTTGTGTGTCTAAAAAATATCGGTCATTTAGTGAAGAATAGATTCTTATCGGCTTCAAGAAACAGAGCTACATTGATTTTTAATAGTTTTTATATTGTAATGTTTATTTTTTTATTATTATCGTAATCAACCTATGTATTAATTGAAAGAGGCCCAAACTGATATGCTAAAAAGAATTGTGAACTACACGAGAAAACAATGTATATAGTTTTTTTTACAAACTTTAATCATAAATTATAATAAATTCCTCGATTTCCAAGAAATCTTCATTCATCAGATAACCCTGTCAATATTATATAATAAGAATTATCATTAAAATAAATTTTAAATTGACAATCAAGAACTCCATCAGAAATTTGTAAAGCAGACCTTGTGTTTTGAATATAAATTTTATAAGGACAAGCTAGATAATTAAAATTATTTTCACGGCGTGAAGTAAGCTTAGCAGTTAATAATAGTGATGTGATGATTTTAAAAGTATATGCACTATTTTTAATGTCATATTAAAAAAAATAATATAAAATAATTACATTCTAATAGTATAGATTTGTTAGTTTACGAGAATTTTAGATGAGGTAATATAATTAAATAAGTAAACACAAAATAGTACTAAATCCAATGAGTATGAAACTTGTAGATTGTAATCCTATTAATATCATAAATGTGAAAGTTTCTTAATTTGGATGTTTGCCCGTCAATTATGCCGAAAATACTGAACGGATTTTGATGAAATTTGGTATACATATATCGTATTAGCTGACTTGGATAATAGGATACTTTTTATCCTACTAAACATTTCCCTAGGGACCACGAGGGCGAAGCCGCTGTCGAAAGCTATTATTATATATAGGCATGATGATATTCAGAGGATTGCCTTATAGATGCTACCATAGGATGTTACATTATCCTGAATATATTGACTACTGCATTTAGTAATCTGCTACTTTATCCTAAGGACTGTTACTAATACTGTTCTATTGTATGAACATTATCAATTCACTTATGTTTTGAAGTTAAATTTTACCAATTAGCTTTAATTTTTCAGGTAATTATCCATGACAGGAAACCACGAAATGGTACCTACTGCAAAGAAACTATAGTTAAACTTCTCGGTGAAAACCTACAATTGGCGGACGAGAATGTCACGTTGTGTCTTGCTCTAGGCTACCAAAGAGTACAAAGGCTACCAGGTTAGTACACAAATGAGGAACTTTATAGCATCATAGTATTACAAAAAAAGGTTTGTCCAATTAAATCATCTATTCATCTCTTCGTGTTGTTTTTTTTTTCACTTTTAAGTAAATAAGTAAGTGAGGCAGTAATATTTTCATTTGACGAGGACAATTCACGGGTGACTACCTACGTAGCCGAGTGGTTAAACCGGCGTGATTTCAAGGTTTTGCCATCTCTGTGGTCCCGAGTTCGATTTCCGGTCGGGTCAATGTAGAAAATGATCTTTTCCATATTGTCTCGGGTCTGGGTGTTGTGGCACCTTCGTTGTCTCAAATACTCCATAGTACGGGGGCTTTAACAACTCATCTTGTCAATCAATCTAAGCAATGTATGTAATGTTATATATTTGTTATTATATGCCATTTTATCCTACATATATCTCCAAAGTTTGTGTCAACTAATTTTAAATTGTAATATCTCTTTGACTGGGCTAATATTAATTTTGCTCAAGTAATATTCAAAATTTCTAACGAAAATGAAGACAGTAATTAAGGACTTATTTAAATAATGAAGTCCAGGAATCACTAACGAAATAATTCCGGAGCATATGTCCGCAAATTTTATCGGGTTAGGAACCTAATTTTCTGAAGTCTGCCGAAAAGAACTAATGTACAAATGAACGATACAATATTTACTCATTACGCGAATTGTTTACGGAAAGTCCTGCGCTCACACTGGCCTATTGTCACAACACACGGCACAGTTTTATTTTGCGCCGCTCTTCCTTGTTTGGGCACGTCGCCATTTCCTTTTGTACAGGATGTGTCTAAAACAAACCCGACCGTAATAATAGCAACTTGTAAATGTTATGGATACGGGCGGCGTAAGCTTTAGCATGACTGTGCGGTTCTAGTGACCTACTTTGAAACACATTATAAAAAAAATACTGAACTGAGTATTCTTTTATTTTTAAGTGGAAAGTTAAATATGAATGTTGACACGAGCGATTCTACGTGATAATTGCTTTTTAGTGGTTCATTAGACATGACTTTGGACCTATTATTCCATTTGTTACACTATCCTACAATTAGAGTTTTTCAAAATATGCATAATACAAAAATATATAAATATGATTCCAAATGGAAAACAACACTCCTTTACTATTGCTTATTCGGTCTAGGCTGTTTTTTAAAAGTTAAAAAGCTAATCCGTTCGCAAATCTAGGGCACCGGCAGAAGAACAGCAAAAAGAATCAGTATAAAACTGTCCGTACTATTTCGATTATTTCACTCTGTCATACTAAAAACAGACTTCAAGAGTTCAAAATTATCTTTTATTACAACAGTGTTATTTATATTTAACATAAATAACGGTCAATGGAGAAAATTTAATTTCTACTTAGACCCAACCGGAAATTCAGTTCGGGATAATCTCAGAAACGGCGAGGTCACTAAACTACCGAACAAGCTCGGATTAAGGACGTCGTCTAGTTATTAATTTATATAAAACTGCGCTGTACCTACCAACTTAACATATAAATCGAAGATAGTAACTGATTTTTATATTAAGATATAATATTTTGGCTACTATATTATTTTCGCCTAAAGCCTATCAGGCTTGAACTCTTTTTTCTGGTAGAATATGCCTCTGGCGTTATTTGTTTTTTAAATACAATAAACAGATAAAAATCAATCTTATATCACACCTTAATCTACTGTGTATCTAAGAAGTAAATTAATTAAAGTCTGAACACTAGTATAACACTCGATTATTGTTGCTGCAGAAAAGTTACAAGTCCACTTCGAAACCTTGGAGAATCTAAAGAAGTACTCGGCCTCAAAGCTGTTCGAATGTCAAAAGCAGCAGCAAGTAGGAGGCAACTGCTCCCACGAAAGTCAGGACTTGGAGAGGACTGTGGTAAGTAAACCGCTTCCTTAAATTAAGTAATGTATAGCCCGAATGCAATGGCAAGCGCATGGAGAACTCATGGCCAATTTAAATATATATTATTAATAAATTCTCGGTAGTAGCTCTATGACGTAGTATAAGCGCCGTAGCCCGCGATTGTTGTTGTTAAATAACTTTTACAAGGGTCGATAAAGGGATTGGTGACCAAAAAATTATTATCTAGAGCTGCTCCATGCCTCGAAAGGCACGTGAAGCTGTTGGTCCCGGCTGCCTTAGGTTAGCGTGAAAGGTCATGGCCCATCCTCCTTAACCATCCATAAGGAAGACCTGGGCCCCTGCGATTGAAACGTAAGAGGGATGATGATAATAATGAATAAATTCTCGCCTTATACACGTAAAGTTCAAAAATAACATATTATTGTGTAAAAACTTGATGAAAAATATGGTCTTACAACGTCCGATCACTTTCATATATACTTTTTTCATGCGTTCTGCAAACCAATTTCCCTTATTTCAGAAACAGGTAATTAGTAACAAATTATTTATGACATGTTTAATACCACTTTCAAAAACTGCGCTAACATCTCTAACCGACAAAATTAGTCGGGAGTCCCGTTTGCGGTTTTCGGTTGCCATTTGTACCAGTTTTATTTATTTATTAAAATTTATTGAACAGTAAAGATATTTTACAAAAGGCGTACTTAATGCTTATGACATTCTCTCCCAGTCTACCTTTTAGAAAAACGATAAACGCGATGGCAGCGTAATGCAGAATCAAGTATGCTAATACATAAAGAAGAAACTAACAAATATATTATTATAATACATTTAAATCTATCTGACGTAAAAATATATACGAACATACAACATAAAATAATACTAATATAGTATCTATGATGATAGGGAGGCTATTCCACAGCCGTATGGCTTGAAGGGTAAAAGAATCGGACATAAAGTCAGAATGAAAAAGAGGAATAGAAAGTGAGAGTGTGTTATAAAAACGAAGTTGTCAATCAGAGTGTGTAGAGCAGACGTAGCTGTCTCCGCTGACTTATAATAAGCCTATTAAGTTGAGACCGATTGAAAAAAGATATTTTATCAAATTACTAGTTAGTTTATAATTCGTCAAATGAAATTCACATAAATACACTAGAATTACCAAAGTTTATTTAAATTAAGCAACCGTAACAGTTGCTGCAACTAACAGCTATCAGCTGCAAAATTATTAAATGTGATCAGAACCTAGATATGAAACCCTAATTTGAACATATGGAACTGTTTTAACGACACCATCCAAACCTATCTTCCATCCATCTCCAAACCAGAAGTTGTTAATAAGATAAACTTTGCCTGTCCTAGCATGTAAAATATTTTGTAAGCTTTTTCTTACGTTAAAGGCAATTAATGTGAAATCTATATTTTCAATTTTAGTTCCTTTACGAAACATCACCATTCCCAGTGGTAATGGCAGAAATTGCCATCCATGGCTTCAAAGAAGTGTCCGATCTCAGCGTCTGCCTTAAGGACATCATATCCCGAATGATGACGCATTCGGTGAAAGTCATCGGCGACTTCAACAGGTGCATCCACAACATCGAAATGCCCAAACTCAAGTACCTTCTTAAATTTATGAAGAAATACGCATAAAAACGTTATAAAATCAAACTTAAACGTCTGAAAACACAAATTCCGTGTAATCGTTCTGATTTAAAAATTACAATATAATGGTCATCAAATTAGATTATTTGATTTTATCTAATAAAAGAATTGTGTGCTTCACAGATAAAAGAATTAGGTTCATTATAGAGCGACAGTGTTTTTGTAAAGCCAGTGGATTGTCATGGATTTTTTTTAAAGTTTTGAATTTACGTATGTTTCTACCTATTTAACAACATTAACGCAAATACCACAAAATAAATAATTACATAATTTATATAAAGAAATGATAGAACTTAATCTTACTGCTACATAGACATTTGATGCACTTAACAGTGCATTTACATTTAACATTAATAAATAACCATCAAATAACTAGGTAATGTTACTTGTTCGTAAAAAATAAGTAAAATATGTAATGTTACTAAATTAACCAAATGTAAATAAGAGTGATCTAAACTGGGATTAGTTTGAATTCGTTTATAATATATGGATTTTATTATAACATGCTTTTTATAATTAAATATTTGTATTAAATTTTGTTTTTTCTTTGTTCTGTCCTTTTCTTCTTTACAAAAAATAAATAAACGAAGTTATGTCATATTTTTTGTATACGAAAGTCGATGACCATTTTTGACAATATTTCTATAATATATATTAACATGAACTAGGGAGTGGCATGTCGGCGCTTTTTCGATCAACGTAACGAGACCGTTTATCGTTCACCGTAAACTAGTTTAAAAAACTGTTTTATTTTTGGACTAGTTTATGTCGTAGACGGACTGAACAGGAAATTATGTCGAACTTACTATTCTAGCTGACGTACTTCATAAAACGGTTTTCAAAATAAACTGTTTAATCAACTTTGTCGTCGTCGACGATTCAGTAAATTTGTGGACAGTGAAAATCAACTTTCTTTTCATAACTTTATTCATGTTTATTATTATTGAATTTCAGAATTGTTTATTTACAAAACCTTACAAATTCAGATAGTTATTTGCCTTTGTACACCAAATTACTCAAACTGATGATAATACAATAGAAGAAATTAAAGCTAAACTCCGCCATCCGAATGAGAATCATAAATTTATTTTAAATATGTTTTTTACATAATCAAGCGAGCGAGACAGGCAGCACGTGCCGCGTTCGATTGTTCAAGTAACGCTTGTTACTTAAGTTCACGCATAAACCAGTCTATCAGATCATAAACTAGTCTATCAGTTGATACCTAATAAACAGTCTAAAAACGGTTCGTTTATTCAACCCCCACGCCTATAATGAACATGTTAAAGATAAAAATAAAAAGTGGACTGCGTAAACTTTTTCCTCTATATTATAATGCTATGATAAGTTAATGGTACTGTCAATTATTATGGTCGTATGCACCTACCCAGCTGGTGCTATTTAAATAATAATACGTTCATTGAAAATTCATGAAACCGGGACCGTTTCAAAGCGCCGCGCTTCCATCGCTTTTGATCTACAGAATCAACACTTGCCAACAAGCTGAATATAACACGGGAAACGACATTGAATTGCTCTTTATTATTATGTGGCATACAAATATAAACCGAATCACATTACACACATCCTAAGAAGTCTTTAGAAATTATTAACCTCTTTTGTAGTTCTCACTATCAAACTCATTAGTCCTTATGTTGGTATACTACATTTTAATACTATATCTATGAAGCATTGAAAAATCTGAAAAATTAAAAATGTATTTCCGTCTTAATTAAATCAGCATATTATGTACTTAAGTTCTGTTTATAATGAGCCGTGAATATGTCAGTGAATTTCGTTTTGACTTTCGTGAACATCTTGCAAAACACATCGAACCATGAGTCTGAACACGGAAGTTAAGTTTTGATTCAGACATTTTTATTTCCGTGTTTCTTTTTTTACTACTTGAGCAATGAAAGAATAACAAAAAAGTTATTCAAACTCTGCTCACACTATTGTAGTACTGTACTTGGATAATCGTAAGAAACTTATATACGGTTTTGTGTTTGCGTATCTTTCATATCTGACAAGTTAAAAGTAACTTTAGCTACTCCAATAATAGAGATAATTTCATTGTTTGCTTCTAATAGGCTCCGAAATCACTGATCCGATTTCGAAAATTATTAACCTACAGGAAGCTATAACTTTAGCTACAATCTACGCGAGCAAAGCCGCGGGAAACTGGATAAAACATATGGACCTATAAAACCTACAAGCTACTTACGAAAAGCCAAGTAAAGCTTTGATTTGTTGATAACATGATTTTAAAATTTAGAATTAAAGACTATCTAAACAACAATGAATTATAAAGCCGCCACTCTATAACCATAAAAGTATCGAATTCAATTTCATTTCTATCTAAGAAATTGTTTCATCCTTATACTTACATATTCCCATTTTATTTCAATCAAAGTCTGTAAACAAACGCTGAAGACATTGTGAAGATACACAAAAATAATAATCATTCAGTGGAATCGGGAACCTCCAACCTTAGACTAAGCCTCAAACTTTATTTGATATCAATAAAAAATGAATCAAGACTATTTTTTATACGTTACACTCGAAAACTTCATTCATTCATTCAAACTCAACTAATAACATTTAAAATGGTTATATTAATCCGCATCAGTTTAAAAACTTTATAATCTAGTTTACTGATCAGAAAGTAATAATATGTATTGTTAGATGCAAGTGTACTATATATAAATGACTAAATGAAAAGTTTAAATGACTAAATAAAATTAGTAAAATCCAACTATCACAGAAACAGTTCCGTGTCTTGTTTACGCAAATAAATTATTCTTTCGTGGCGTGATGGTGGCGTAATTGTAAGTCCTATAAGTTTCAATGTTGTCTCAAATCATCAATTTACAAATGATAACCCACATGGTAATAAGAATAAAGTTCTATTCTTTAAGCGTTTTATTTCTATTAAAATAGAAGTTAATTATATGAAATTTCAACTCAACATATGAACAACTAATATCAAAACTACTTACCACACTAATAGGGATGTCAGTAGAACACGGTTGATATTTCAACAATCTACTAAATCTTAAAGTTCGTTGTGCCATCGTTAAAGGGCCTACTGGTCGAGACACGTGTATGAGCGGAGAGGGTGGCGGATGAGCGGGCGGCGACGGCGCCGGCGGTATATTACGCCGCACAGTCTCTAAAGGAACTGTTCTCGCTATTAATGAGTCACTGCCGACTGAATTGGCGCTACCACTGAACATGTTCATCAAGTCACCTATGGAACCTCCACCGCTTGAGCCGCCACCGCACTTCAATTTGTCCAGATCCGTCAAACTGGATCCTCTGCGGACGCGGAGACGGGACCCGGTGACGTTAGAGCGATTTTGAAAAGACTGATCGCGTCTCACGTCGGCCTCGCTCGTCGCTTGCACCTTACGACTCCTCACCATTTTGAACATATTAACTTTTACGGCAACACACTGCAGCGTCTACACATTCACTGATCATTAACACCTGCGCCGGAGAAATTTGCATACGAATTACAGATAGCTGCGTTCACGTTGTTACAATCAATAGGGTCACGGTCGCCCGCAGGATGTCGCTATCGCGTCCTCGCACGCTTCCGCCGCCATCGCTTGCGCAACATTTTCGAACTATAATTATTTGTTTTGAATTTCGAATTTCTAAGCTTTTCCTATTCCTGGGAGGGTGTTGGCGGTTCAAAGGTTGTTTCCCAACTGAACGAGTGCGTATCGTATGTGCGTATGGATGGAGCAACTCAGCTGAACTAATAAGGTGTTCCGGTTCAAAGGCGTCGTGGGACTCGGCAGGCGACCGCTACTTAGCCTCACAGACAGCGGGATACTAAAACCACGGCGGGTGTATATATGATAAAAAATTGAATATTTCCTCTCAATTTGGGATAAATTGCTATCACGTACTGGGTGTACAGATCAATAGAAAAAAAAATAATAGCTTCCAATTCAGTTAACATCGGCAAACATGAAAAAGAGAAAACTTATTTTTTATACTTTTCTCAGAAATAGAGTATAGAAGCAATCATTAGATATAAGGACGGCAAATGTACTATTTCAATTTAAAAAAAAAACATTTAAAGTTTACATACAAGGAAATCTATAATTATAATAAAATATACCACACAAATACGTCACTTGTTTACTAAACGAGTAAATCATATTGATATAGGACATGTTATAGTATTCACTCGTGTTTTGCTAATCAATCGATGACTCACTTTCGTCTACATGTCTTGATGCGACCCCAACGTCACTACAATCTTGTACAACACCATAACTACAGTGTACACTGTACAATCAACAACATGTTAAGTTAGTCAAAGCCGATATGTGTCTATAAATAATTTTAAGTCTTCATAATGCCGCATAAATACAAAATCAATTGAGGAAATTTCGGCCATTTGGAACTTTATAGCGTTCTAATTAACGCATAGACAAATATATTAATTAACCGTGAACAGTTTCCAAAATGTTTCATTATGCCAAAACATGTACCAAAATTCATTTCGTCGTGACTCTCAAAGTGGCCAAAACTAGCTCATATGCGAGAATTTATGTTATTATTATTAAAATTCCAAATACCTACGTGAATTTTAACATATGCTGAAACTTCACAAACTGAACTCCAATTGCAAATGCTAAATTGATAATACTAGGTTGTTAAAATATTATTATGCAAAATAATTTACAACTACTATATTTCTATGAGTTCAAACTCGACGTCAAACTCAGCGCTGTCGAAGCATAGATATTCAATCATTATTACCTTCTTTTGAAGTGCGATTTATTTGATTGAACCTATATGCTGTGACTGCTCTGTGCTCAACGACGAATTTGTCACTGACTTTTTGATAGCTTAGAAATAGAATAGCACTGCTTATTCTTAAAGTTTTGATAATAACACGTTTGTTGTCTTTATTATTAAGTTTTTGAATATTTAAAACACATGTTTTGGGACTGGGCCACTCTTTGTATGACTTTATATCATTCATTAGCCTAGTTACAAAACCTTTGATTATGAAAATTATTAACTAATCTTATTTAGGTAATAATTTTTCATAATCAAAGGTTTTGTAACTAGACTAATGAATGATATAAAGTCGTATTCACTAATTATTTAACATAAAAAAATATAAAGAGCTTGTCAACTAAACATCCCTTAGTTTTGATAAACACGCGCCAGAATTTAGGTGCATCGATTAGTGTATGATGAAACCCTTTGATGCCGTCATAGAATTTGTTGTTCCATATAGTTATCAAGTTGTTACGTAAAGGTGACTTATTCATTGAACACTAGATTAAATTATCCAATTGACAGTTTAACTACTTGGCAGTTAATATACAAGACATAAAATCCAATAAAGCCTTATTTTATTGGTCACGTGATAAAATGATTCAATTCACTATTTGCTCCACCATTGGTCATCTTGTCAAGCTTTTCAGAAATGAATTATAATTAAGTTTCATTTTAATGTAGGGCTATGTTTAATTGAAAAAAATCGTTTTAAAATGTCAATGTTACCAAAACAGTGAATTTGTAAATAAATCATTTTCAGGTGTCGATTGTAACAAATATATTTGCATATAAAAGTGATATCCATACGGTGTTATTCGTGACATGTATTTATTTCCTGATAAATTGTAATGAATTTTACCGAGAACTTATTGAAATTCGTGCCAGTCTTCGTTGTTTATCATTAAATAATAATCAAAACATTGCCATGTAAACTCTGAAAATTATCACTGTAATGGCACTGCATAGCTGGTATATGTGCTACTTCCAGAAAAACAAAAAGCGTTGTCCCTAAACAATCAATATAATGATATAAAAACGAAATTTAAAAGTTATAATTACATTGAAATCCTGTGTCACATCATCAATTAGGATAGGATTACAACATCAGCATCAATATTTTTATATCACGAAACAACACAAATGTTTATATCTTCAAAGGTTTGTGTTATGCTGTAAGTTTATTTTATGATGTCAATTCATTTCAACAATTTTTAGTTTTCATAGTTATTTATATTAAGTATGACCAACTATACAGTGAAAACAAGACAGTTTTATAGCTTCTTGTTACCAGTCTCCTATCAATTAACTGCAATTAAACGAATTTATGGCAGCGTGAAATTGAAACTCGCCCGTATAAAGGAAAATACTGTTTTATGAAGTCATTATTCCCGTTTATAAAAAGTTTTATTTAATGATTTACGCAGGTGACTTAATGTGTATTTAACATTTGTTAAAAAATATTTTTAATTTATTATGTATCCAACCATAAAATGGGTATGATTTAGAGCCACAATAAAAATATATATACGAAAATATTGTTTTCACGAAAATTGTTCTGGAATAAATTTTACGAATTAAAATATGGAAAACATTATTTTAACACCAAAATAATACTACCATGTTACATACATGTTTTTTCTAATTGCTAATTTTACAGCAAAATGCATGATATAGCGGATTTTATTTTTGCTGAGCAATGAAGTTAGATATTAATTTAGGTTATAAATTATTATTATTTAAAAAGTAATAAAAGTGGACGAGGCGAAAGATATATGTAAGGACTGTACATTGTGGCGGTCGTTCCTGTGTGCCTACCCCGCCAGGGATACAGAGTGGAGATATAGATAGATAAATTATTACCAAAAGTGTTGATGACATATTAAGTATATTGAATAGGTAAATAATAAAAACTAGTTATGTGTACTGCATTAGGTATTGATAGGTTGTCGACTCACTCTGTAAGTACATTTACCCTTCAAGGTCGACAGACTAAGTTACTAACAGAGCTTTCGCATTTATAGCTCAAGTCATCACAGCAGGACCACAATGCTCCCCTACTTGCGTTAAACAAGCTTGTATTATACGATTTATTGTTCTATTCATTTTATAATTTAAAAAGTATTAATATAAAATGTCTATAAAAATAGTAGTTGTATAATATATACATATCGTATTATATTATTATGAATAATTGGTTAGTAGGTATCAGTTTTTTTCATTTCATTGAATTTATACCATTTGTTTCTATTAATTTTTGTATATTTATTATAATTTTTAAATTTAAGTACTAATTATATTGCAATACATGCTCTCGATAAATTATGTAAAAACTTTTGTACCGTGCTTCCTACAAATGAACATATTTTTAAAAGAATATAGTACGTATGTAAATGACGATAGAGCGAGAAATACTGAAAAGATACATTGCGACATTAAGAATACAATTAAGAATAAGTCAGGCTAAAAAAATATCAGTGATAAGCTTTATTTAGTTTTCGAATATTACGAAACCAATACGTACACATAAGTTCATAAGAATCTCAGTACCACATGAAATTCAATAACAATTTCTCTAAGGCCTGAAGGTCAATATGATTACAGTTCATTAACTCCAGACAGCCTTAAGTGTGAAACCTAGCAAATCGTCACTATTGCATTCCCATGAGAGGCTATGAAACAGCGGGGAATGAACGACATGCTGTGATAACAACCTTATAATATATCCGATAAATTCTTCCTTCCATTGTTACTGTAATATTGGTAGTTAATAAAGATAGGAGATCTATAAGTTAAGCTGTTGTTAAGTATTCTTTACTACATTGAATCATATCATTACCTATACGAACGAAATATAAACAAAATTCATACTTGCCCTTTAAATATTTTAGATAATTATGATTTTGTATTAAGAAAAACGTAATTAAAAATAACTTACCTTAATAAGGGGAACAAATTACTGATTCTCCGTTTAAGTACACAATTTATAAAGTAAAAAAATCGATGTAAAAAAACAGTAAACAAATAGAACGGCAAAAACAAATATTTTAAAAAAGTTTTAGAGAGTCAAAACAGGTTTTATTGGTAAAGCTCAAAGTTACAAAAAATATATAAAATACAGTTAGTTTATGATATTATAGCATTTGATTTTTTTTTTAATTCTTGTCTAAAATTTATTTAATTCTTGTCGTAAAAATGTCATCTATTTTTTTTGTTGAAATAGATATCAACACTCTACCTATTTAAAAAAACCTCACACAAATTAACGCTTAAAAACACTTTAAGAAAACTTTAAAGAAAAATTCTATGTATATAAAAATCAAATTTGTTTTTGCCGTTTAAATGGATAAATGTACTCACGTTCAGCTGCATCACCACTTTGTTGTAGGCTCGATGCCACCGTTGTTTCGGGGTTAATTTTGGTTGCTCCGGCTGGAACTCTATACGATCCTTTTCAACTCTTTGTTCATCGGGAAACACGTTGTCTTCATCCTGATAATGTTCATCTGTTTCGTTAAAATGTTCATGATCTTCGAATTTGTCATCCTCCTCATTAAATGTCTCCTGTTTGTGGAAAGGTTCTCTTTCGTCACTGTATTCGTCAGCCTGTTCATCATAA